CCCCCCCCCCCCAACCCTTTACTTTTTAATTTGCTTTAAATAATAATAATCTGAACCCAGCGCTTTTTCCTGCTCTGGGCAGGGGGTCGGACTCCATGATCTGATTGGTCCCTTCCGACCCTAAAATCTAGTAAATCTATGAAATAATAATAATAACAAAAATACACAGTGTGTTAAGACTGCAATGCCTATAATAAAAGGAAGAAAGAGAAACAGTGTAACAGTATCGGATACTGGATAACACTATGTTAGATGGGACCGATGGAGTGGTGAAAGCAGGGAAGAATTTGACTGGTTATAGAAAAAAGGCAATTCCAAGGGAAAACTTTGAATAATTAAACTGTCAATTGTAAAAGCTCTCAATTGGTCTGATTCAAAACCTTCCAAAATCAATGGCAAGCCCCACACTAACTTTGATGGACTTTGGGTCAGTCAGTAGGAGATGACAGGTCTTTCCCATTTTTAGTTTATATGGCTTCTACTGTGAATTATAGGCCGAATTCTCTACTGGTACAAAAAGACAAGAGTTATACTACCTTTGACTGATCTGCACTGGATGCCATGCTGGAATGTATGCTTTGGTTAAATGCAAGTAATTAGGCGCAAAGAAAATTGCATGACCTGCTTACAAAATGGCAGACAAGATGACCTAATGTTGGCCCTGGCCTTGCAATCTATGAATCAGTTCGTACTAGCAAATAATCTAGTGGCGTCTGATACCAAGATAGTCAAGATGACAATACTAGTTTCAGAAACAAAAATATTTTGTTGAACCTCACTTTTACAAATAAATTTAAGAGCTTGGGTAGAGGCGGAGTGTTTCCTTATTCTTCCCAATTAACTATTTTCCCTATATTAAACATTAATTTCAGGCAAGTGGGTGACATCATAACAAGGATTATTATCTAAAAGTGAAATATTGCAGTTGGGGAAGAAACCTTCTGTCTCCTGAAAAATTTCCAAAGAAAACTTTAACATTTTCATGAAAAAAGGTAGATTTCCGCTGAAAAATAGAAAGCCGAGCACCCCTAAACTTTCAATTACTGGAAAGCAAATGCTCCAAATAGAAATTTTGGGGGTTTCAACACCAACAAAATCCTGAAAATTTTCAAAGAAATTAAAACTTGTAGAACCCACCCCCTTTAATTAGAAAGTAATTTTCCATTAAACGGTATTTTTTAACTGCGTTACAGTTTATCTAGACTTTAGAAATGCCAATGGATGATTAAAATGAATCACTTGCAATACAGCGCCCAGGCTGTTCAGAAAATTCTGTTTAAAATTAGTCTCTGATAGAAATGACCATTGATTTGTTATCAGCTAACTGGAGACTAGAGAGGAGATAGGCAACCTGAAGACACCATTACTTCATTATTTTGCCAGGTATCCAGGTTGTAGCTGTATTGGTCTAGAGGAAAAAGGAATCAGAATGCATGGTAAAGGTGATAACTTTTATTAAACCAACTAGATTTTTGCAAAAAAATAAATAAATAAAATTAATTGCAAGCTTTTGGGCACAAGCACCCTTTTTCAGGCATAGGAGAAAAGAAATATGAACTTTCATTTCTACCCAGGAGAACTTTTACAATCTTTTCCCCTATGCCTGAAAAAGGATGCTTGTGCCCAAAAGCTTGCAATTAAAGAATTTTTTTTGCAAAAATCTAGTTGGTCTAATAAAAGGTATCACCCCTACCATGAATTCTGATTTATTATTTTGCTGCTCTTAGCCAGGATTATATTATGTTCCACTAGACTGCACCAGGACATTCCCATGCTTGAAAGTCAGCAATGTTTGCTGACTGCTTAATTAGATCAAATGGGATCTAAGCTTTTGGGTACTTGCTGAACTGAACCTGGACTTCAAACCTTTTGAATACGTCACTTTAATTTCGTCTCTGTTCTACTGCTAACCCCCTTTTTGTTGTTGTTGTAATAGAGATAATTAAACTGCAAATAAGCACTGCAGTGCAGATGTTCACATAATCACGGACGTGATTCAGGGTCAAGTGTCACACCTGTAATATGCTTTGCCCTGAGCAACTCCACATGACTTGAAATGCACCAGCATTTCATATCATAATCAATGCAGTGAAATCTGAGAGACTGGGAGACTCTGGAGAATGAATGACGGTAGATGAATAAGCATTAACCTATATGGCAGAACAGAAAGTTAGCCGTCCAACTACTATTGAAATCCGAGTCCCTAGCTCCCTCAGATGTTTCTGAAAATCTTATTCGTCCATGCTGGAAAAGTAGTATTGCTATCACAATAGCAATACTACTGTTCTCTGGCCTCATGTGGAGTTGGGGTCTGGAAGGGAAAACAGATCACAGTGAATTAGAAGGGGCAACATGAGTCGGCGTGTCTACGTGAGATGCTAACATCACAGTAGACTAGTTCTGCTGTTCATTACCGCAGCTGGCAAAAACCATGCTAATGCGCTAATCTACTGTGCATTAGCGTCACAAAAACCGGTCATCAGTACTAATGCGCAGTAGCGCCCATTATGGTGCCGTAATTACGGTTCATTAATGAACGTGTAGATGCGGCCAACTGTGTTCCATCTGCTTGGCAGCAACTCTCTCTGTGTCCACTCTTATCCCAGAGTAAATGAAAGATAAACCACAGGAGCTCAGCCCTAAACCAGTTGCTATGTTTAGCCCTAAACCAAATGGTTTAACCTCCACTTACCAAAGGGTAAGAACAGGTACGTGGATAGTTACTACAGAGCATCTGATGCCCTACCCCCTTTTATTTCACTGTTTTGCTAAATTTCTGTCGGTGGAGACAGGTGTCCACTCTAAGATCCATCACTGGCACTAAGTGACACTACCACTTCTGCATTATGAGAATACCCAGAGGCCAATTGTCTGTTTGCAGAACAAAGTTAACAGGTTTCAGGAACAATAAATTCAGTTTAACAATATCAAAGCTAAAAACATAACCAAAATATTCTCAATAATGTTTCAAATATATTTTATTTCCTTTCCCCTCCCATGTTTAACAGACTGGCCTATTTTTGTTTGTCTCCCCATCGAGATCCAACCCTTGCGATGCTGGTACGAAGAACGGTTTGTTGGACGAGAGCCAAAAAGGGGATGCCTTTGTGCCTCCTTGATCCCTGGATATACTGGGAGCCCTCAGCATGCTTTGTGAAAATCTCAGGGTTATTCTAATTAGCACAAAATAGTAATGGCCCCTGGGGAGGTTTTATTCTAGCTGGAGATTGCTGGAGCACAAAGATATTCTGATCATGTTCCTTTCCTTTCATTATGTCCAGTACATTATAGATCGTGGGAGATGGGTGGCATAAAGCCAGCTCTCTGTCACTAAGGGAAGTCCCCCAGTGGGTATTACAATTGCAGTGCACTGTTGGAACAACGTAAAGAGGCCAGGATCTGATCCGATCTGACATGTAAGTGCAAACATATACTTTATATAGTCATTATAACATAGTAAAAAACCTGCCGTGGAATAGCAGGGCTTATAAACCTGCACCAGGCATACTACAGCATCAGACTTTTAAAGAGATAAGTCTTGTTCATTCACGGTTACCCTTTCCATTTCTCACCTTTCTAATTCCCACAAATGCTTCTGTTCACAAACATCTCAATGCTGCAGCACTGACAACACGCTGAATTACTCTAGTGCGCTTTGCAGAGAGAGGGCACGGATGAGTAGACAAACCCTCTAAGTACAAAACCAGGGGAACAGATGGTTGTGACAAGGCGCTTATTTTTGCACAATAAGTGTTAGTGGACTCCCCCGAGATCTGACGTATGCTGGAGAAGCTGCTAAATGGCCGCAGTGAGTCAGCTGCGGCACTGATAAGAAATAAAACTTTTCTTATTCATACGTGCAAGCCAAGTCCTTCTGTTTTATCCCACGCTTAACCCTTTGGTGGAATTCCCTGCTGATGGGGGCTCAGATAGCTGCTTTCCTGGGGCACAGGAAAGCCAACAGAACTCCCCTTGGACCTTGGTTGAATCATAGGAAATAGCGTTTAGCTAGGTAGGGGGATACTTGCTCAGACATACAGAACAACATAGCTGGTGCTGTAGTGGGGTAGACCAGTGGGCCATCTAGTTCTATATCAAGCCTCTAACAGTGGCCAGTACTAGCTGTTTAAGAGGAGGATGAAAGAAGAAACCCTACAGTAGGCAGTTGCTGTCCACAGCTATCACTTGTCCCCAGAGAAAGTTTCCTGACAGCTCCAACAAGTGAGAGGTTAGAGTAATTTTGGAGCAATTTTGAAGTTGTATTTCTCTTCCAAAGTGCCGCTGTTGGGGTTCCTCCGAGCATTCGGTTCTTCCGTGAATGCAGTGTTGGTTACATTGCTCACCTTCAAGAGAAGGAAGGAAGTTGTCCTTCCTGCTGTGTGTTAACAGGGACATTTGTGTGAACAGGGACACCAGCCTTTATCTTGCACCTCTTGTGTCAAGAAGAGGTTCGCCATTGAGTTCAGGATGCAGCGGGCTGGCTCTCCTTTTAAGCATCCTATAGAACAAAGTGAGCACAAACCACTTCATCCTTGCAGATGGACTGAGCTAGGTGGGGAGAAGCTGAGTAGTTTTAAAATCAAGGGCCCTAAATTTATCTTGCAGGCGGGTGCTGTGCATACTTTCACCCAATCCCTCGACTGGTGACATGGTAGGTTGAATCATTCATTCACAGCAACTGAGAAGTGTGTGGCTTTAAAATGTAGTCCTCTCATAAATGGTGATGAATGGCTGTCCTAGGGCACATATACACTTCCTCCGTGCCTAGCCTAGGAATGCTGCAGTGAAGCACGACTCACTCGACTCTGCTCCGATTGCCCCCGCACCGTTCTTAAGCTCCCCGTCTCAGACACGCTTAATGTCATCCAGTCACCACTGCTGCAAGGTGACTACGCTGCCTCATTTCCAGGATTTGGTATGTGCAAAGCCAGACACTGCACAAAGGTGGGACAGGCATGCTCTTGCAGAGCTCTAGTGTGGATAACATTTGGTTGCTTCCCTAAAACCCTTGGGTCTGCAATGTCAACCTGGAAATCTTGTCTGGACAAGATTGGGTGAGATTTCTGGCATCCCCTTCAGGTTAAGGTTTGGCTAGGTCTCTCTTATCAGATCTTGACACTTCTGGTCCCAGCTTCACTCAGGAACTGCTGGAGGCCTGAAAACACCCTTATTAAAAGACAGTCCTCTTTCAAATTTCTGAGAATGTTGGTCTGTTGGAAGAAGATTGCTTTTAAAAATAAGATTTATCCAAATTGCTTTGTGTATCCCTATCTGTGACGTCCACTCACAGCAGCAAAAGTGGCCTCTGACTGGGTGAAGAGCAAAACTATAAGTCTGCCGGACAGGAAACAATTAGCATGCGGCTGAGGAACATATTGGTAGTTAGATACTACCTCAGCCTTGTTGAAGAACAATAAGTCACCCAGCAGTGTGAGAGACTCAGTCCAGGTCTACACTGGAAACTTGGCTCATGCAGTACCATTGATCAGAGGGATGTTTCGTTTTACAATATGCACATAGCAGCAAAAGCTGTACATATCAGCAAAAAAGTTCTTTTGGGCTGGTTAAAGTTACATCTTTAACGCTAGAAGATTTAACTGGTGCGGCAATACACCAGCCAACATTTTCAGGCGTAGGTAAGGCCTGGTACGTGTGTGGACTTAGGAAGTCTGCAGAATTCAAAGCTTTTATCATTTCACATTGTCAAGTTTGTGCCCTTCAAATTTTCTTAGTAACTCTTGGTTGACTGGATGACTACTCTAGACTTGGTGTTCAAGTTGCTTTAGAGCCAGTTTTAAAGCTCATATGAGCAACGCTCAAAAATGGAAATGAGATGACCTGTTTGACATTTACAGCAATTAATCATTGGAAGAGATTGCTGAAAAGATGTAAATTCTCCACCTTTTGTTGTCATTAAATGTAGTCCAGACGCCTTTCTAAGAAATGCTCTAATTCAACTGCGTGCTACAGGAGTAGCACCATGCTAGACGTGCATTCTGGCTTTAAAATCTATGAATGCTACTCAAAAATCAGCTACTAATTTTTAGGACCAGATCCTGATTCTATTAGTAGTCCTGTTGAATAGTACCCAGCTGAATATAATCATTTTCCCCTTGATTATAATGTGAGTATGAGCATAATGATGAACGAGTGAAAATAAAATGAAAATAAATCCACAGAAAGATGTAAGACGGGAAAGGGATAACAAAGGGATAAAGACAAAAAAGAGGTCATTTTTGGGGGGAGGGTGGGGAGAAATGAGGCATCTCATTTCCTTGCTATTTTCCTAAGAAATTCTCTCTCATTATCTCTCGTTGAAGGTCATGTCTAACAAAATAAGAGAGTCGAGAAGTGAGGTAATGATTTTCAATTTCTGTCACATTACAAGAATGAAACACCCTGCTCTGTTTCATTAGGGCTCCAGGTGACTTGTCACCGGAATACTTAGCCTCCATTAAAACTAACTCAAAAATACAATGAGATCAGACTTTCAAGTCACCAAAGAGAACTACTTCTGACAGACCATGACACAGTGGATTATTTTGTACAGTCTCTTTAAGCGCAACTGGCTGCTATGGGAATGCACCCCACCCCGATTTCTGCTAGGCCTGGTAAAATACAATAATATAAATACCCTGGTGTTTTTCTTTGAGGAAGATGCTATATTTTTGTCTTTTCCTTTTTCTCAGTAGTGACTGTGGATGTTTTCTGCCCAAAGGCTGGTAAATGGGAATTACACGTCATAGCACTCCTGTTTCTATAGGCACAGAACCAGTACCTGCCCCACAGTATGTTACTCTCCTGGTTAATGGGATTACTTTAGGTGCAAGGTCCTACTCTACAGTAGGACCTTGCTAACATTGTATTTTCTGTAACCTAGTTGTATTCCCCTCCTCACCCCTTGTCCCTCCTATGTTAGTGCCTTGCTTGGGCAATCTGCATTTCCCTACTGACTTTGTCATCTCTTTGGGTTCATAACTCTTAACATCTGCTAATAAAATTCAATCTGTGTTTATGCCCTGCAAACATAAGAACTAGCATTGTTATTATTATAAGGAATAGGTGAGCTGGAATGGAAAATAAGAACTTCTGCCTTGACTTCCAGTGATGGCACTTCAAAAATCCCTGGAGAGATGTATTCTGATACAATCCAGATGCATCTTTTTTATTTAATTAGAGGTGGTTTAATATTTGTAGAAGAAAAATGGTAACTTTTACCAATTTAGCACAAAATATATATCTATATCTATATATATTATAGATATAGATATATAATATAATCTCTCTCTATATATAGATATATAATCTCTCTCTCTCTCTCTCTCTATATATATGGTTTATATATAAGTTTTTTCTTTTCCTTTTTCTTGGTACTGACCATGGATGTTTTCTGCCCAAAGGTTGGTAAAAGGGAATTACATATCATAGTGTGACACAGAACCAGTACCTGCCTCAGTACATTACTCTCCTGGTTAACAGGATTACTTTAGGTGCTATATAGGTTTTTATTTACACACACACATACACACACACACACACACGCACACAATAAAAACCTAATGATTAAATGCAGCATCCATAGGGATCACAAGTAACTGGCCTCCAAATAACCCATGGGGTACAATAACCTATTAACAAATCCACTGTATTCCTATCCTGTCAATTTACTGCTTCTCACCATGCTCACCTAAAATATAGGATACGCAGATAAACAGTTGCACTCCTTCCTCTCCACCAACCTCAGACTCAGCCAGGGAAAACAAACTAACACCCTGCTAATCACAAATCTCTTCCCATTCGTTTCCTTACACTCAACATCTTCTGTATTGGCTTACAGACTTTTGTTCAATTCGATCCAGAAAAAAAGAGGGTCATGCACAGCAGGTAAGAGCCAGTAAACAGCTTGGAGAACAGTCAGAGCCGTTCAAACAGCATGGGAGTATGAAGGCCAGAAACTTTCTGCAATAGCACTGATATTGCAACTCATTTTTTACTTTGTTTTTGGACAGTCTGTAGCACTGCAATATATCTGCTTACCTTATGAGCCAGGAACCTAATGGCTTGGGCTAATGCTGGCTGATATAAGGAGATCTTTAAAGGCACCCCTTCAAGTTAAGCAGACCGTAGCAACATGAATGCCAAAATTGGTACTTTCTACAGTGTAGCTAGACTTTGAATAAGAGGTGAGGCTGATCCAGCTTTTCCAGTCATATACCCTGAAGCAGAAAACGTTGCTGTATTTTGGAGTATTCAATCCTAAACACTGGAATGGGGGGGGAAGTGACATTGTCCAAGTGACACAGAAGCCTTGGTCACCTTTTCAGAAGCAACCAAGGCATGTAGGGACAGACTTTGAAAGAGATGTAGGTGCTTAAACATGGAGAGAGATGCTGTGAGGGACCAGGATGTTCTTATGAGAATCTATGGCTGAAGTCTCTGTTACTGACCCTTCCATTGGCAAATGATTGACAGTTTTACCTTATTCCCACAATATATTATTATGTGCTGGCCAGTACAGTGGCAGCCTTGCCCACACTAATATGTTGAGTCATCTTGTTCTGTACTATACTTGGAAAGAATACAAGAGATGCCTATTAGGACTTTTGAAAATGCCTCGACAGATTGGGCATATAAATTTCAATGGAAGTTAGGCACCTGAACTGCTTTGGCTTTTTGAAAATCCCGCTAGGCATCTGCCTGCATGTCTCCGTTCCTAAACACCTTTGAAAATCTGGCCCCGAGGAGCTCAAGCCTCAGTAAAAGAAATCAGTGGAACTTAGACTCTTACATGTCCTTTGGAAAAAAGGTACTTGGGAGACTAAGGGACAGATTTCTTTAAAGGTAATTGGATGCCTAGCTCCTATAAGACCCTGAGGCACTTCTGAAACATTCGCTTTAAGCAATTTGGCCAAGGTTGTACTGGGAGCCTTATGCAGAGCCAAAAATCATTTCCTGAATCTCTGCCTTGGGATTTACCTTGGAATATTCTCCCCATTTCTCTTGAACGGTTGGGCTGTTCCAGTCCACGGACAGGTTTTGCACTCTTATCTACCTGTTTAGTGTGGGGTTAAACCCTATCACTAGTATGAGAACTTCTGTTTATGGGTCTTTTAGCCATCCTACAGTGAGTTCTCAGTTTATTCAACTGCTGTGGAATGACATAATAGCTCAGAATAGTTTCTGCATTGCTACAAATATTATAAAACCTATTTTTTTTCTAAGTTACTAAAACAGATTTATTTTTTTTTTGATGTCTGCAGTGGGTGGATAACTCTCTTTTGGCACATTTACACTCAAAGGGCAAAGCCATTTAAAGAAGCAGAAAATGAGCAACTCAGCCAGTCAGACTGGCCTAGCAAATCCAAGGAGGACTGGTTCAAAAGTCGTAACTATTAAAAGTGACAAAAGAAGCACAATGACCATCCAGGAAAGTAGCTTAGACCAGCTAACTGAAAAAGTATTGGCTCAGGGGATGGCAATGTGAAAACTGGTAAGCAAGTAAGTAGCCTTATACAGTTTGTTCGGGCTTTCCTTTGAGGTTGATTAAAAAAAATAGTGATGGGTGATCATAGAAATGCTGGGATAAGCTTCCCAATGTCCAATTGCCCCTGCAATCCCCATAGCCTGTGATATCAGGGGCAAGTTGCAGGAGACCAGCATTTTAAAAAAAAATTCTGTAGCGCTTAAGCGTTGAATGTTTTTCCTTTATTTTCTTCTCCCAACTCACTCTTTGATTTTTATTCCCTTCTTTCCCCCTTACTTCCAAGACTTCTCTCTCTTTCTTTCTTCCTTAATGCTCCAGACTTCATCCCTCCCTCCGCTGTATAATTTTGCCACCTCTGCTAGAAAGAGGACAAATGATTTCCTGCAATTCAGAGCCAGTGTGTTGTACAGTCTGGAAATGAACACGGTATTTGCTCAATGAGATCTTAAGGAAGGAGCCATGTAAGAGTATGGGAGGAGAAAAATGCTTTTTAATGTTCTCAAACCGTGTGGACTATCGCTGGTTGACAGCTGGTTGCTAGCACCATGCCCTTTCCTCCACCTGGTTTCTTGTAGCTATTTTGTAGTCAAAGACTCTAGATATTCACAGACTACTTTCCTAATGTTATTGTCCCATGTAAAGCATTTGCTGTAGCTACCAAAGCCATATTATATGATTCTGAAGGGAAAGGGGATTTGGTCCACATGGCTGCAAATGGTATCCACAAGACATACGATTGCTCATCTTAGAGGGTCTTTGGACTGTGTGGGTATGGTAGTGCTTGGGACAGCAACATTCCCTCTTCTTTTAGCTCTTAATAAAAACACCTATTTGCAGAAATCTCATCATACAATGAATGCTTTTTTGCTTTTCCTTGAAATTTTCTCCAAAGACTTATTGATCAAACTTAGCCTATGCTTCTGGGACATCACCAAGTAGGTAAATAAAACAGTGTTCAGTAAAAAACTGTATCGTAACTTCATCTCCTGTCACATAAGAATAGAAATACGCTACCCAGCAAATATTTATGGATCTTCTTGGTGGCTGTAGCTTTCTATCATTGTGCGTATACAAAGGACTGACAGCTTCTGCCTCTGCACAGAGGGATTCTAATAACAGGCTGCCAGATAGGACATAGCGGAAAGTTTCATTTATATATATATATTCCCTCCCTCCCGGAAAGAAGGTGAATTATGCACATGGTTGCAATGTGTAGTGCAGCAAGGGCCGATCGATTTTAATAGGTGGCACTTTTGAAAATGACGATTCAGCAGGCTGATTCAGAAGCAGGGTAATAATAATGGTATCCTTTAAGTGAATCTTAGCAGGTAATTGGCAGGTTATCCAGAAGAACTGGGTTATTATTTTAAAGAAAGCTAGAGAACTTTGGAAAAACTTGTCTTGTGAGCAAAGTCACTTTTGAAGAACTAGTTCATAGTAAAGTAACCTGGGGGGAGGGGGCAGGAGAAGAAGGACAGAGAAGATAGAGAAGACATCAAAAGATGTTCAGGGTGGCTTCCCTTTTTTGCAAGTGTAATTTACCTCTTTATTTTGCATCTCTCAAGTCCTCCCTCAATTGCATGTGTCCTGAAGGAGTATGGATTCAGTGAAAAGCAAAGTTGCTCAAGGTGTTTTTA